AAAGCCATTCATATTGCCTTTGGAAGGTCTTTGGCTCCGGGGCTCTGCGTATCTCAGTTGGAGGTCGTCCTTGAACATGGGCCAGCTGGGAGAGGGCATGTGCTTGGAATTATGTCTATCTTAGACAATGACTGGCCTCTGGAAAGTGGGGGAGGAACCTTTTCATCCTTGCCTCTGTACTGTTTATCCTTGCCTCCCTGGTGTCACTTGCAGGATCCCAGACATACCTAGCTTCCATAGCCAGGCTAAGGCTTGGCTGGTGCTGTGGGGGGGGGGGACCTTTCATAGATCATTCACAAAGGAAAGCTTCCAAAGAAACCACACTGTTCCCATGAAGGACATTAAGCAATGTGCCAGTTAAGGGCTCAGAATAATGTCCCAGAGAAGTGACTTCTAGCCTAGTACATTGAAACAGGTGTGAACAGTAGCCTCTGAATAACACACAGGGTAGAGTCTCCAACAAGGCGTGTGGCAGAACAGGTTTGGCATTGTGCTCTCTATCATTTGGGAAATAGTTAGCGAGGTCAGGTTTGCTACTTTTCATGGTATATGGGGTCGGAGAGTGGGTGGACTATGGAACACACAGAGGGCTAGGGTGGGGGTACATAAGGCACTGACATTTTAGGTATAGAGGCTGCTGCCATCAGAGGTAGGTAGGGGACACTGAAGGGAAGGAGACAGGAAGCCTTTGCTCTGGGAAAATTCTGAGTGGCTCTGAAGAGCTGAGGGCTGGCAGAGAAGTGTCTGAGCTTGCTGCACTCGTGAAGGTGAGTGTTATTCTGTCTCAGCAGGAGGCCAAAAAACATGTTAAAGGAGAAACTGACCTGATGTAAAACCACTTTTCAAAAGGCTTTCTGTATGGGCCACACGGATTTTTCTGCCAGCTTCCTCTTGTGGCTCTAGGGTATATGCCTGTCTTCCTGAAGCTTGCTCTGTCATTCTCTCGGAGGCCCTGGGATGGAATAGTCAGCTGCACTCCACCTCATTCTAGTACTTGACTGGCAGAACCAGGAGGATAGTGAGGGTGAGCCAGAGGCTGGGAGACCCTCCTTATCTTGAGAAGGAAAGAAGGAAGGGAAGGAAAGACAATCTCCCTCAACTCCATGGCTCACTAGCTGTGTGTTCCAGCAACTTACCATGCTTCTCATGGCCTGTCTGTGATCCTAGGGCAAGGGCAGAGATAGCAGGAATGATTCCATAGGATGGTGAATTGTAAATCTAATGAGATAGTACACTTAAAGCACTTCAAACAGCACCTTGGAAGTAAGACTCCCTCAAAAGATGTTAAATTTTATTCTGTGTACGCTGTGGCAGCATTGATATTTATACCTTGCTTTTGAAAAACTCAAATAAGATACTATGGGTGTTCAAAGGACTTTGACTTTAGTTACCAGTAAAACATGCTGTGTAAAGATTCATATGTGAAAAGATCGTGGTGTAGGTTGCCCACCAGGGTCTGAAATTATAATTTGTAATATCCCTCACCTCCAGTGAACTAGAAAACTCATCTTACGTAATGATGCCCAACCCTGTGTGTCTCTTCCTTGGGTTTGGGAGTGCGTTTCTTATTTCTTCCTGTGTCCTCATTGTTTGTAAGGCTGGATGGTGGTGAACATCCCCACCAAGCATTTCCTTCTCTGTGTGTGCCAACCATTGTGAAGAAAATGGATGTATCACTGGTCAGCTGCTATTGAAATTCCTAGACCTTACTTTTCAAATGATGGAGTCGCATGGGAGAACAACTTCTGAGCCTCACTGTCTGTCCCACAGTGTGAACATCTTTAAGTATTCTTCCACAGCAAATCACAGTGGCTTCCAACTCAGCCACCCCCTCAGTGGAATCCAATACAGAGCTGCCAGTCATACCTGTTCAGACTTGAGTGGGGCTTGCCGAGCCCCCTGGGTGTTTTGCCTTCTGTTTGGGAAATCCTCATCCAAGGACAAGAATTTCCTGTGCCCTTGGAGAAATTCCCAGTAACCCTAGAGGTTTAGGGCAGAGGAACAGGAGCTCCCCACACGTCAGACTCATGGGAATCTTATACCCATGCACGGTTGTAGACTCACTATGTTGGCTCATGATGGTCACTCAGTGCCTTCCCACCAGTGACTATTAAAGTCACATGTAGTCACTATTGGTGACCGTCAAGTTTGTTCCAATTTGGGGTATAGGATGGGGCAGGAAGCACTTATCTCTGCATGATAATGTATCCAGATGTTGGTTAATAATTTGAATCAGGTTGTCAGGTTAAAATAGGGAAAATAGTTGAAAAACAAGATTATAAATCTTACACTAAACCCCCCCTTCTTCCGTGTGAAAGGGAGTAAGAAAATATGTATCATTGGCTTACAATCTCCCTTATTTTAAAGACCATGCAAACTGGGCATATAAACACTCAAACCCCAAGTGACCTCTGACTGGTTCCCATTTTGTGACATCTTTCTTGGTTCATAGAGCCTGTTGGCAGGGTTAGACACATCAGTAGACTCAGAACACAGCTCAGTGGGAAATGACTGGCAAGTAGGAACTTTTGACCACCAGGGTAATGGGCTGAGCTAAGTTGGGAAACAAAGCCTTGGGCAGGTAAACTTGGGACTGAAGTCTGCTTAGAGGTCAGGAGCAACAGTTCAACATCACTGCCCCGAGGCAGTACCTGAGACCTGAATGACCTGGGTCTTGAATGAGCCCCATAAAGGATGGCCCCCTAGAAAAGGTAATAACAATGGATCCTCCAGCTTCTGTAGAAGCATGAGTTAGAAGGGGAAGGCAGAACCAAGACTGACTGTTAGCATTCCTCATGCACATGCAGCTGTATGATCACTTGTTCTGGGATCTGCTGTGCTTACATGCATTCTGTAAGAGAGCACAGTAAACCCAGACATCAAGTTCCCTTCATAGGAGATGTCAATTAAATAGAGTGCTCACTGCGGAGAAGAGCTACGTGAGGATCACTTTGAAAAGCACAACAAAGGGCCATTGTCTCAAACATGGCTGGGAAGCAGGAGGATGCTGGAACCCTTGAGTCTCCCACTGTAGTTCTGGTCATCAGAACTGTGTCTCCATGTTTCGGTATGTGGCACAGGCCTGTATGCCTATGAGGTCACCTCCCTGTTTCAGGGCTTTCTCCACACTGGGAAGACTGTTTGCACGGAGGCATACTCAGTGCAGACTTCTCGTACTGAATAAGTAACAAGCTGTTAAGTACACAATGAGAGCAAAGGACTCAGTGATTGATAGAAGCTGATGTTTCCCTGTCCCTTCTGTAGCCTTCAATTAAACTCACAGAAATCTCCTACCTCTACGGGAGGAGAATGGCACGAACGTGCCTGGGGAATGGCTGAGACGGCTGGCATAGCTTCACAGGAGGTGGCTGTATGTCCCCATCCCCAAAGGGATTAGACACAGAGATATGGAGTACCTGAGTCTGCTTCTACAGGGGTATAGGGCTGTGTTCACTGAATGGCATGGGATAGAGGGAATAGCACATGTAGCAGAGAGCAAGGGGAAGGACTTGGAGAGATGGAACAAGAAGCTCTATACCACAGAAGCTCTATACCACGGAAGCTCTATACCACAGAAGCTCTATACCACAAAAACTCTATACCATAGCCCATTGCTAATTGATCCCAGGTAACTGAAGGGATCCCTCAGTGTGCTGCTATTGCTATTTCCAGACATGCACATGGAGATGAACTTTGATAATACTAAATATACCTTGCTTTCCCTCTGTTGCTTTGTTATTTATAAAACGTTTTCATTTCAAGGGTCCTCAAAGTTGCCTTGAAATATGTTAGTGTAGTCGTCTAAAGAAGGCAACGCTGAAGCTCACCGTGACTACGTAATTTGCCACAAGTCTCTCCCTCCCCCCAACACATGCACACACACACATGCACCCATACGCACACCTCAATTTCAAACACCTGCAAAATCAATAGTCTGCTAGTGTCACGATCCTTTAAGTACAGGAGGGCATCAGTTCTAAATGTGCCTGAGTACTTATGTGATCCTCCACAGAGAACATGCCTTTCCAAGCCCCTGAACTTGTATTTCTCTCACCCCTTACATTTTTTTCTTGTCTTCTGTATACTGTCAGTTCTATACCCTCCAGTATGCATGAGCTTGAGGCAGGGTTTGTGTACTTTTTTCAGGCTCTAGTGGACGGTGCCATGTGTAGGCAGCATTATTTGGATTCAATAAGTTATTTAAAAATAAATAAGTAAATGAAGAAGAGGAATAGGACATGGAAATGGGGGAGAGAAACTTTATGATATCAGCACTGGCATTCTGTAATACAGCATCCCCATGGCACCACATACCCCACCCCCATGCCACCATGTACCCCACTGCCACTTTTTTGTGTTTGTTTGTTTGTTTTAGCCAAGCTACAGGAAAGAGTTCCGAATGGTCAGATCTCAAGGAGTTAAGGGAAGCAGATGCCTGGTCACATTCTGCCAGGCATCTCCATGTTCAGTGGGAAGCACTCAAACAGCTGCTTCAAACTCTTCTCTCTCACTTTAGAAAGTCATGTAGAAAGAGAAAATAGATTAATTTGACTGATGACACCAAAAAAGAAAAAATATTAGAAACAAGAAAAGGCCATGTTTCCTACAGGGACTCATTTCATCCTGCATACCACTTCCCTGGGATAGCTGCCAATTGTTAGCAGGAAGAGTAATGGTAGCCGTTTTTAAAAATTTCACTCCTGAGTATCACGGAGATAAATAACTAAATGATGGAGAAATCGCTTTCTTTCACGGTCGTAGTTTAAGAGGAGTAAGAGAACTCAGATGCAGATAATATTGGAAGATGTGAAGAAATTCAGCCATGACTGAAACATTGGCTTCTGCTGTGGGTGAAGTTTTAGAAAGAATTCTGTTCCGCATGGCTGCTATAGAGAAGCATCCAGCTCAAAGCAAAGGGTCTGCATGTGGGGGTGAGCAGGTTTCTTTGATGTCCCAGCACTGATCCATGGGAAATGATGCATCTGTTGTGTCTTGTGCAGGACCCATGCAGGAGACTATCTACGACTTCTGGAGGATGGTGTGGCATGAGAACACAGCAAGCATCATCATGGTGACCAACCTTGTGGAAGTGGGAAGGGTAAGATGGCCTGTCCACTGCAGACACCTTTTGGTTCCTTGCCAAGTTAATGATAGAGAGACACGAACCACGCTCATGAAGTATTTTATACACTCCAAAAAACTTAACTTCCAGCCTAACCTGAATGGCTTGGCTATCTCCTGTTGCCAATAGTAACAGACAGGAAAAAGCACTTGATATTTCAAAGCTGCTGTTTTCTGGCTTTGCTGAGCACACAGAAATACCTCTAAGCCTTAATGCTGGTTGGAGGGTGTCAAAATCCTACAGGTGCTACAACAGACATGAGACGGTTGTGTAAGTTAGGGGAGTTGGCTCTGAAAACAGTTTGCAGTGATGGGACCTGTCTCAGAAATCTAGCATGTTTCATGCTTCAGTGTGCGTCTGTGCCCTAAACTATGAACTGGGCACTATAATCTGCCACAAAGATCTGGTATCCCTGTCTTTGGTGTTTATCGGTTTTCATTTTTATTTAACCAGGGGGCTAATGGATAGTTGTAGTCTTAGCAGTGCATGCTATCAATTTACCTCGAGAGCACAACATTTAAATGAGAAAATGTATAGGCTACAACTACCATTTATAATGGGTTCCATTCCATGGTGACACCCAACTGAAGAGCACATTTATTCTTAAGGAAGTTGGTATTTATACCCAGCAAAGGCAGCCTGGTACTTGTCCTAGAACTGAATTATTGAAGCAAGAAACTTAAAAAAGAGGAGGTGATTCTCAAAAGGTATCAGGAGGCACAAACAGGGAAGGTTGCAGATATAACAATTGTCTCAGAAGAAGATCTCAGTAAGTGGTTGTAATTCTAGAAAAGATGGCAGACTAGATAACCAACCTCCTACAAACATCTTGAAATTCTAGATAAATTATGTTTATTTTTAGAACACCATAAAAATCAGGTAAGTATGTAAATAGACTTGTTTAAAACATGCGACTTAAGAAAATAAAGACCTAAAGTACACTAAGGGCTGGAGAGTGGAAAGATTGGACACTGTCATGTGCCCAAAAGCAGGCAGGGGAACCCTGTGTCCATCTTGGTGAGATGTCACTTGATGGTCACGAAAGTCAAGAGATAACATCCTGGGGCCACTGTGTTAGCATAGAACCCAAACTCCAAAGGTAGATGGTCAGAGAAAAGGCAAAGTCAGGGAGGAAGCAAGGAAGAGGTAGAAGGAGAAAGTATCTGCCTCCCAAGAGAAAATTATAGGAGCTTTGCTCTTCACTTAAGATCCAATGGAAAGAGCCTCTG